GTACCTATTATGGAAGGGGACGATTTTAGTTCTGTTTAATTTTTTTATCTTTGAATCATCACATTGGAAGCTGCATCAACGTTGAAATGAACAGACATATTTTATCAATTAAATTAGCTTACGTAAGCCTAAATGAAAAATTATGACTTCCGGTGGATTTATGAGTTAAACTATTTGAAACAACTTCAATATATTCTTTTATTGGAACAAAACATTTTTGGTATTTGAAATGTTTCGTTTGCTTTACTAGTTTTTAACATATTTGAAAGTTTGGGATTCTATTAAAAATTTTAGTCATTCAGGTTTTTATTTTTAACAATTACATTTTTAATATATACTTTCTGTTAGGTACATAAGTATAGATATATTATTAATATTATATAACATATTTCTTCAAACAACAAATGCTCACTTGAACGTAGCCTTCAATAGATCTACAGCTTACATTTATCTTTTAAAAGTTTTTGCAGTACCGATAACAAAAAATCGATGTTTTCGGGTTGAGCGTTATATCCCATAATTCCAACTCTTCCAATTAAACCTGCTGTAGGTCCTAAACCGCCACCAATTTCCAAATTATACCTTAAAGGTAACAGAAAATTACAAAAATAAACCAACATGTTCAATTAATACAAACGTGTTCATTGCGGTAGTTGTTATTTTCTTCCAATCGACACCTTCTGGTATTTTGATCGAAGTTACAGTTGGTAAACGAGCTTCAGGATCGCCAACAAAGAATTCCAACCCCAATCTTTTTAAACCGTCATGAAGACGCATGGTACACTCCTTATGTCTTTTCATAGAATTTTCAATTCCTTCTTCGCAAATTATAGCCAAAGCTTCTCTCAGACCACAAAGGAGACTTGATGATACGGTGTGATGATAACTGTGGACATAAATATTTTGATTGCGTCTCGTATTTTGTCGTATTTCTTATTATTCGTTCATTCCTTATATACTGCAATTTATTACAGCCTGTAAATCTCTGTTTATACTAATTAGCAAAAAATAGTTATGAGTTAGCAATAAAACTTCAAAAATGTTCACGTACAATGAATAGGCTAGTACGTGTGCTTCTTTTAGGATTCTAATAATCATCTTCGCGTATTACCAAGTTTAATACTTATTTACTACAGAGCAAACAAATGGAATGTGACTTTTTGCGAGTCGGCTGTGAAAGTTTTTTTACAGTGAAAGATGTTACCATGGTAATCAGTAATACAGCGGCTGTTATTCGAGTACGTACTGCGAGTGTTGTGCTATTAATTAACGTGTTAAGCAGTACAGTCGTTTGTTTTTTTAATTAAATTTGTTTTATTTATCACACGAATGGAACCTACCTGTGCTTGTGTACTTTTTCTAAACGTACAAGTATAAAAATAACAATTCAAGCGTGTGCATTAGTTTTACTATTATCATTTTTTAGTTGATACTGCAATTGCATACAAATTCGAAAGGACTACAACTAACGATGCCGACAGAACGTGTAGGGAAGGTCACTTAAATTTTAATAACATTTGTTTTCGTATTTATAACGAGTCGTGGCGAAGGTTAACAATACCATTGCTATTTTCACTTAATAATAACCTATTTTATCGTTAGTGAGTTAAAATATGCATTTACATAGGTGAGTCCCTTTCGGACAAAAAATAGGTAAAGTGCTTTTGTGGTTACAGTGGCAGTGCAGCAATAACAATAATATCTTATTATGTACCTACTTATGACTTAAAAACAATTGCGATAATAATGCAAATAGTGAGGATACATTCTAAATTCGAATAGAAAAGTATTCAGGACAAGAAAACTGCATCCCAAATAAATAATCGAAGGTAAGGTTTATAATTAAATTAATTTTTTATATGTTTCTTATTCTGAAGTTTTGGTTAAGACCAGTATATTTCGTCCTGGGCAAAGCTGGATTCTAGCACCTCAATTTCCCCAGTAGGTATCTTCAGAAACCAAAATATATGCAATATACCTTATCAATATTGATAATTGCGAGATCGATTGCTCTAAACGTAATAAGAAAATAAGAAAATTTTTCCAATAGTTTTCGAAATAATACGGTTGTAGTTTGTAGTCGAAAAAATGTTTTCCAGTAAAATAATGAAATTCTATGAAAATGATTATGATATTCGAATTCAGCGTACTTGAATTAATTAGTATCGAGTGTTTATGTTTAAAATTGATCCCTTTTCTGCCAAAACCGTTTATTTCGAAGGACAAAGAAATGAGATTTTTCTTCTTTATAGACGCATGTATTGATTATTATTATTTAATACGAATAATTTTGTTATTGTGGGTAGGAATGTAATTCTACTTTTACGGTGCTTAAAGAAAACAAATCCATAAAAAGTAGGGTATTTCAAATTTGAAAAGAATATTTTTTTTATACAAGAAAACGCGATACTGTGTTCATTTATAAATCAGTTTGTAAAGAATTTATAGATAATACATATTGATAGCAAGGCGGCGCCACTTAAGTTAATGATAATTATAATCCAATTTACAAAAAATCTCGGGGTCTGTGCTATCAAGTTAGTTGCCATTTCTTCCCCAAAGCAATTATACAATTGTAAAAAGTCAAGTTACTTAGGAGTAAAAGGCTTTTTATTCATGTGAAACCACAGTCGACGTTTTGCACTCAAATACAGGTGTTAACATAGTTACAAAAGATAAAAATATGTAACTCACTTGAAATTTAAGTGTTTATGTAACTTAATTTTTTACAATTATCTTAAATTATTAATATTTTGGAAAAGTCAGTTTCAATATCATATTGTCCTCATTGTCAGGGGCCCGGGGCGGTTGCCCGTTTTTCTCCCCACATGCTAAAAGGCATACAAATCATTTCACTTACGTTCGAACTGTGCCAACACATCCCCATTGTTCACCCACTACGTTCATATCAAAATAGTACACCGAAGGCCTGGATTTACGTTGAAAGATTTTTGTTCTTAAACAAACAAAATACAAATAAATAATTTTAGATATGCATTTTTTAAGACTATTCATACTGTGCTCTTTTACTGAATGATATGGGTGTTATGCCAGGGGGTGCGCTTAGAACTTTTTGAGATCCCGTGTATACAGCATCCACCTCCCATTTATCCATGAAAAATGGTACTGCTCCTAGTGATGCAACGGTATCTACTGCCAATAGACAGTTATATCTGGCAAAAAATAGATGAGTTGTAAAACCTATATTTTCTTTAAATAAGTAATTTAGGTAATTTAAAAAAATTACTTATGGCATATTTTTCCCAAAGACTCCAGGGGTTGATATACCCCTGTAGAACTTTCTCCTTGTACAACGAATAGCAAGTCTGGTTTTTCGCTTAGAATAGCCGTTTCTAACTGACCTAAGCTATAGTTGTTTCCAAGAGATGTTGCAATCTGTGAAACTACGGCTCCTGTGTAGGAAATATGACATAATATAATAATCGAATAGGTATATTGTTTTGTTACAAGAATACTGAAAAAATACATAAAAAAGAAAGTCAGTTTAATATTAGTGTAGACGATTGGATAACAGCATTTCAATACCAGTTGAAAAACTATGTAAGCCTGGACAAAATAAAACGTAGTAAACAATAAATTGTCCAATTATTATTAAACTTGATACATATTATAGATTTTAACAATGTGGGATTTAGCTATCACGAGCCCATGGGAACAAATAAGTTAAAAACCATGTCACAGCAGGCAAATTTGATGATTTAGAAAATTTATACAAAACATTTTTCTGCGCTCCCTTAGTCGAAAAAAATTTATATATGACTTCCTCAAAAATCCTATATGTTTTATTGCTTTTTAAAGTTCCGTATGTCCGAATGGAAAACGAAACCCTTATGGGATCATTCGTATGTCTGTCTGTCCGTCTGTAAACAGTCAATTTGCTCCGAATCTATTGGACTGATTATATTGAAATTTAGCAAAAAATATGAATTTCTGTGACCCAAATACGGACTTTTATATGTTTCTTATTCTGAAGTTTTGGTTAAGACCAGTATATTTCGTCCTGGGCAAAGCTGGATTCTAGCACCTCAATTTCCCCAGTAGGTATCTTCAGAAACCAAAATATATGCAATATACCTTATCAATATTGATAATTGCGAGATCGATTGCTCTAAACGTAATAAGAAAATAAGAAAATTTTTCCAATAGTTTTCGAAATAATACGGTTGTAGTTTGTAGTCGAAAAAATGTTTTCCAGTAAAATAATGAAATTCTATGAAAATGATTATGATATTCGAATTCAGCGTACTTGAATTAATTAGTATCGAGTGTTTATGTTTAAAATTGATCCCTTTTCTGCCAAAACCGTTTATTTCGAAGGACAAAGAAATGAGATTTTTCTTCTTTATAGACGCATGTATTGATTATTATTATTTAATACGAATAATTTTGTTATTGTGGGTAGGAATGTAATTCTACTTTTACGGTGCTTAAAGAAAACAAATCCATAAAAAGTAGGGTATTTCAAATTTGAAAAGAATATTTTTTTTATACAAGAAAACGCGATACTGTGTTCATTTATAAATCAGTTTGTAAAGAATTTATAGATAATACATATTGATAGCAAGGCGGCGCCACTTAAGTTAATGATAATTATAATCCAATTTACAAAAAATCTCGGGGTCTGTGCTATCAAGTTAGTTGCCATTTCTTCCCCAAAGCAATTATACAATTGTAAAAAGTCAAGTTACTTAGGAGTAAAAGGCTTTTTATTCATGTGAAACCACAGTCGACGTTTTGCACTCAAATACAGGTGTTAACATAGTTACAAAAGATAAAAATATGTAACTCACTTGAAATTTAAGTGTTTATGTAACTTAATTTTTTACAATTATCTTAAATTATTAATATTTTGGAAAAGTCAGTTTCAATATCATATTGTCCTCATTGTCAGGGGCCCGGGGCGGTTGCCCGTTTTTCTCCCCACATGCTAAAAGGCATACAAATCATTTCACTTACGTTCGAACTGTGCCAACACATCCCCATTGTTCACCCACTACGTTCATATCAAAATAGTACACCGAAGGCCTGGATTTACGTTGAAAGATTTTTGTTCTTAAACAAACAAAATACAAATAAATAATTTTAGATATGCATTTTTTAAGACTATTCATACTGTGCTCTTTTACTGAATGATATGGGTGTTATGCCAGGGGGTGCGCTTAGAACTTTTTGAGATCCCGTGTATACAGCATCCACCTCCCATTTATCCATGAAAAATGGTACT